AGACTCCTAAGTGCACCACTCACCCTTTTCCCCTCATCATTCTGTGATTCACCTCATCTTTCATAGACCCATCCGCTGACACGTCCACTCCCAAATATCTGAATACATTCACCTCCTCCATACTCTCTCCCTCCAATCTGATATCCAATCTTTCATCACCTAATCTTTTTGTTATCCTCATTACCTTACTCTTTCCTGTATTCACATTTTAATTTTCTTCTTTTGCACACCCTACCAAATTCATCCACCAATCTCTGCAGCTTCTCTTCAGAATCTCCCAAGAGCACAGTGTCATCAGCAAAGAGCAACTGTGACAACTCCCACTTTGTGTGATTCTTTATCTTTTAACTCCACACCTCTTGCCAAGACCCCGCATTTACTTCTCTTACAACCCCATCTATAAATATATTAAACAACCACGGTGACATCACACATCCTTGTCTAAGGCCTACTTTTTTTTTTTTTTTTTTTTTTTTTTTATTATCACACCGGCCGATTCCCACCAAGGCAGGGTGGCCCGAAAAAGAAAAACTTTCACCATCATTCACTCCATCACTGTCTTGCCAGAAGGGTGCTTTACACTACAGTTTTTAAACTGCAACATTAACACCCCTCCTTCAGAGTGCAGGCACTGTACTTCCCATCTCCAGGACTCAAGTCCGGCCTGCCGGTTTTCCCTGAATCCCTTCATAAATGTTACTTTGCTCACACTCCAACAGCACGTCAAGTATTAAAAACCATTTGTCTCCATTCACTCCTATAAAAACACGCTCACGCATGCCTGCTGGAAGTCCAAGCCCCTCGCACACAAAACCTCCTTTACCCCCTCCCTCCAACCCTTCCTAGGCCGACCCCTACCCCGCCTTCCTTCCACTACAGACTGATACACTCTTGAAGTCATTCTGTTTCGCTCCATTCTCTCTACATGTCCGAACCACCTCAACAACCCTTCCTCGGGCCCTCTGGACAACAGTTTTGGTAATCCCGCACCTCCTCCTAACTTCCAAACTACGAATTCTCTGCATTATATTCACACCACACATTGCCCTCAGACATGACATCTCCACTGCCTCCAGCCTTCTCCTCGCTGCAACATTCATCACCCACGCTTCACACCCATATAAGAGCGTTGGTAAAACTAATACTCTCATACATTCCCCTCTTTGCCTCCAAGGACAAAGTTCTTTGTCTCCACAGACTCCTAAGTGCACCACTCACTCTTTTTCCCTCATCAATTCTATGATTCACCTCATCTTTCATAGACCCATCCGCTGACACGTCCACTCCCAAATATCTGAATACGTTCACCTCCTCCATACTCTCTCCTTCCAATCTGATATTCAATCCTTCATCACCTAATCTTTTTGTTATCCTACTTTTACTGGGAAATAATTTCCCTCTTTCCTACATACTCTAACTTGAGCCTCACTATCCTCGTAAAAACTCTTCACTGCTTTCAGTAACCTACCTCCTACACCATACACCTGCAACATCTGCCACATTGCCCCCTATCCACCCTGTCATATGCCTTTTCCAAATCCATAAATGCCACAAAGACCTCTTTAGCCTTATCTAAATACTGTTCACTTACATGTTTCACTGTAAACACCTGGTCCACACATCCCCTACCTTTCCTAAAGCCTCCTTGTTCATCTGCTATCCTATTCTCCGTCTTACTCTTAATTCTTTCAATAATAACTCTACCATACACTTTACCAGGTATACTCAACAGACTTATCCCCCTATAATTTTTGCACTCTCTTTTGTCCCCTTTGCCTTTATACAAAGGAACTATGCATGCTCTCTGCCAATCCCCAGGTACCTTACCCCTCTTCCATACATTTATTAAATAATTGCACCAACCACTCCAAAACTATATCCCCACCTGCTTTTAAACATTTCTATCTTTTATCCCATCAATCCCGGCTGCCTTACCCCCTTTCATTTTACCTACTGCCTCACGAACTTCCCCACGCTCACAACTGGCTCTTCCTCACTCCTACAAGATGTTATTCCTCTTTGCCCCATACATGAAATCAAAAGCTTCCCTATCTTCATCAACATTTAACAATTCCTCAAAATATTCCCTCCATCTTCCCAATACCTCTAACTCTCCATTTAATAACTCTCCTCTCCTATTTTTAACTGACAAATCCATTTGTTCTCTAGGCTTCCTTAACTGTTTAATCTCCACTCCAAAACTTTTTCTTATTTTCAACAAAATTGTTGATAACATCTCACCCACTCTCTCATTTGCTCTCTTTTTACATTGCTTCACCACTCTCTTAACCTCTCTCTTTTTTTCCATATACTCTTCCCTCCTTGCATCACTTCTACTTTGTAAAAACTTCTCATATGCTAACCTTTTCTCCCTTACTGCTCTCTTTACATCATCATTCCACCAATCACTCCTCTTCCCTCCCGCACCCACTTTCCTGTAACCACAAACTTCTGCTGAGCACTCTAACACTACATTTTTAAACCTACCCCATACCTCTTCGACCCCATTGCCTATGCTCTCATTAGCCCATCTATACTCCAATAGCCGTTTATATCTTACCCTAACTGCCTCCTCTTTTAGTTTATAAACCTTCACCTCTCTCTTCCCTGATGCTTCTATTCTCCTTGTATCCCATCTACCTTTTACTCTCAGTGTAGCTACAACTAGAAAGTGATCTGATATATCTGTGGCCCCTCTATAAACATGTACATCCTGAAGTCTACTCAACAGTCTTTTATCTACCAATACATAATCCAACAAACTACTGTCATTTCGCCCTACATCATATCTTGTATACTTATTTATCCTCTTTTTCTTAAAATATGTATTACCTATAACTAAACCCCTTTCTATACAAAGCTCAATCAAAGGGCTCCCATTATCATTTACTCCTGGCACCCCAAACTTACCTTCCACACCCTCTCTAAAAGTTTCTCCTACTTTAGCATTCAGGTCCCCTACCACAATTACTCTCTCACTTGGTTCAAAGGCTCCTGTTCATTCACTTAACATCTCCCAAAATCTCTCTCTCTCCTCTACATTCCTCTCTTCTCCAGGTGCATACACTCTTATTATGACCCACTTTTTGCATCCAACCTTTACTTTAATCCACATAATTCTTGAATTTACACATTCATATTCTCTTTTCTCCTTCCATAACTGATCCTTCAATGTTACTGCTACCCCTTCCTTTGCTCTAACTCTCTCAGATACTCCAGATTTAATCCCATTTATTTCCCCCCACCGAAACTCCCCTACTCCCTTCAGCTTTGTTTCGCTTAGGGCCAGGACATCCAACTTCTTTTCATTCATAACATCAGCAATCATCTGTTTCTTGTCATCTGCACTACATTCAAGCATCCCAGTTTTATAAAGTTTTTCTTCTTCTCTTTTTTAGTAAATGTCTACAGGAGAAGGGGTTACTAGCCCATTGCTCCCGGCATTTTAGTCGCCTCATACGACACGCATGGCTTACGGAGGAAAGATTCTTTTCCGCTTCCCCATGGACAATAGAAGAAATAAAGAAGAACAAGAGCTATTTAGAAAAAGGAGAAAAACCTAGATGTATGTATAAATACAGTGGACCCCCGCATAACGATTACCTCCGAATGCGACCAATTATGTAAGTGTATTTATGTAAGTGCGTTTGTACTTGTATGTTTGGGGGTCTGAAATGGACTAATCTACTTCACAATATTCCTTATGGGAACAAATTCGGTCAGTACTGGTACCTGAACATACTTCTGGAGTGAAAAAATATCGTTAACCGGGGGTCCACTGTATATGCATGTGCGTGTCTGTGAAGTGTGACCAAAGTGTAAGTAGGAGTAGCAAGATATCCCTGTTATCTAGCGTGTTTATGAGACAGAAAAAGAAACCAGCAATCCTACCATCATGCAAAACAGTTACAGGTTTCTGTTTCACAGTCATCTGGCAGGACGGTAGTACTTCCCTGGGTGGTTGCTGTCTACCAACCTGCTACCTACTACTACAGTTACCTGTAACCAAAATACTGTATATAAGTATAGAGGATACACAGAAACTTGTTCTGTAGTACATTATGCAACTCGTCAAAAATTTAGAGGAAGCCTCAGGCCAAACTAGTCTCAATATCAGAGCTAAACATGATGGATTACATACATCAGATGTCAAATGGACGTAACTCAGTCAGAGGTTGGTTGGTTATGTGGGTCTAAAAATCTATGACTACTCAGTGGGGCATTAAGGCTACATGTAACCTATTTACCACTCGTCAAGAATACCTCATGGTGTATATAATCTTGATGTTGAATGAGAGGAGAGGGGAAGGGGAGTTACTTATATGATCAAGTGTTATCTTAAAAGTGATGCAGTCATCGGGTTGACCAGATATCACTGACAAATGAAATGTGAAACAATATGCATCTAAGGCAGAATATGGCACCTGAGCTAAATTGAATTGATAGGGAGTTTATTCTGGTATTTTTGGGTATATTTGATAGGCTGTGAGTCCCACTAGTGATTTGTCAAATACCAGTTCCCAGAAATATGTTGGACCCAGTTAGCCATCCATTTATATAAATGTTAGTATCAGTTTATGGATTAGTGAAATGGATTATTTTTATCATTTGTAATTGTTACCATGAAGTTCCTGACAGCAGCTTCCTGCTCAGTCCTGCATTCTCGCTACCCTCACCATGTTGCTTTCAAAAATTTTGAACCATGTTTGTAAGAAATGACTGTAAATAGAGATTAAAAGTTGCATTTATTATAAAACTGGATACCATACTCTATTGTATTTATTATGGTAACAGTATATAGGAAGTTTTACTGTGCTGAGCTGTTTTTATTATTATATTTTTGCCTTAGTTTTATAACTTTTTTATTATATTTTACAAATAAAAATAAATTTCTTGTATCTGAATTACAATTCATTTAAAATGCATTATTGGTTAACTGTTCTAATTAAATTTTGCTGTATATAAATTATTAGGTAATGCTTTGTCCTTTCTCTCACCAGTATGTTAACCGTGCTTGTGAAAACCTCTTGGGATATTCAGTAGAAGGTGTGGCTGGTCGCAGTCTGTGGGAGCTACATAGCAGTGACAATTACAAACAAGACATACGAGCCTTTGATCATAGACCCTCTGTTGATTTTAAAACATCGATGGAGCACCAAAGAGCAGGGACAGATCACAGACTATCAGACCATAGACACTCAATTGAGCACAAATCTGGAGAGTCAAAAGTAAGTTGATTTAGACAAAGATTGGCTAAAAGTTTTATAAATCTGTAGTGATAAAATTGTACCCTAAATAATTACTTGGTAATTGTTACATAGCTCTTAGTGTGAACAAGAATGTAAATAAAGTGTCATGAAGGGTAGAGAAGCTATCACACAATATTTTGATACTTTTTCATGTTTAATTAACACATTAGAAAAATATATGCAAAGTGAATCTCGGAAAACTGAATGTGGTACATATAAGGTTATACAAGAGGTCCCAAATGTACAAAGGCTCCACAGGGCACTTAGAAATTGGAATGTGCTGGAGAAGGACAATGCTTGCCTTCTGCTAGTGAGATCTCCAGATGGGGATTTTCTGTTTACTGTTTCCAATTCCTCTCTAGGCACACGTCTCAACCCATAGACCACTTGTATCAGTCCTGCACTTCACTTTCCTTTGCCAGATCTGTCTTTGCTGAAAACAGGTGTATCTTCAGCTATGCATCTGCAGATTGATTTGGGTACTGTGCTCTTTTTTCCATAATTCTGAAATTGCAAGGTATGAAGCTATTGACATCATCAAGAGAATCCTTTCAGTAGCTGGATACCCAGCTACTGAAAGGATTCTCCACCTATGCAGATCAGAGGGCAGTCAGAAAGCATCCAGATGGAATTACCTTGCAAGGCTGGATAGATGGCAAGCAGGTGTTGAGACTATAGAGGTGTGTCCACACTGGATGAAGCACATCTTAAGTACAGTGGAGTTGAAAGAAGTGCAGGTTCCAGCTGAAGGGGTCCCAAAAGTCTAGAGAATATGATGAACCTGCCTATCATTACATGTTTGTTCTCATAGGCTCAGAGACTCTAGGTTCATGGGGCAAGAACACATCCAAGTTCCTTATAGACCTAGACAGAAGACTCCTCAGGACAGTTAAGGATCCCTGAGCAGCTAGCTTTTTCTTCCAGCTTCTCAGTGTTGTAGTTCAGTGGGATATATACAGCCTCTCCTCACTAAGACCACATTGGTAAATGAATTCATTGCTAAGTGAGGAACATACTATAATGGTAGTGGGTTTGTGTCAACCATCTTTGATATTGTTTTAATGTTGCCTTTGCCCCATTTATAACATTTCTGGTATATTTTTAAATGTTTGTACAGTTGTGTACTGTATATTGTAATACACAGAATAGAGGAAATCAGCTCTGATATACTACATTATTTAGGTATGCATACTGGTCAGAGAGCCCATTGTAAGTCCGAGTCATCAGTAAACGAGTACGTCACTAAGTGAGGAAAGGCTTTATGTATGTATGCATGTATCGCATACATACATATAACTATCTAACTAATTGCAGGTGAACTTGGACATATCAGAGGCTGTCAACATGCAAATGCGACGAGGAAAAGAATGGGATGGTTCGTTTACCTGCCGGCGGAAATCTGGGGGCACTGTACACTTGCCATCAAAAGTTATTCCAGTTGCTCCACTTACAAGGTAAAGTTACTTTTAACCCTTAAACTGTCCAAACGTAGCTCTACGTTCACGTACGTAGCACTCCAAACGTAGACCTATGTTTTTTTACATGCTTTCAAATGGGGAAAATAAAGGTCGGAGCACTACACACATGAACGTAGATCTACGTTTGGACAGTTTAAGGGTTATTGTTGCCTCATTTTGTTGAAGGAACATTAATTTTAATTTCCCTGAATGTTTTTGTATACTTGTTTTGATGACCTACTCACAAAATCACCTGAAAGTTTTCTGAGTGTTGACATGATAGGAAACAAATGGATAATTCAATTTGTTGTCAGCAGCAGTTACTTGCTGATTACTGTGTTTTGTGCTCTGGTGTGTGAAGATATTGTTGAAAATGTTGAAAAGGCTCATGTGTAATAGTGAAAAGAAAAAGAATAATAATTTGTTTGCTTATATCAGAGAAAGTCAAGTCATTGGAAAACATGAGAGCGGTGTAAGTGTGAAGTGTCTTGACTCAGAAGTTGGGCATTGGAAAAACCATTATCTATGACATAAAGAAACAGAAGGACAAATTGTTGAAGTTCTATGCTGAAAGTGATGAACAAAAGTTAATGAAAAATAGAGACACATTGCATAGAGGGAAAATTGAAGATATCATGTATTGATGGATTGTATTGGTCAGCATCAGAGTGAGCATATGCCACTTAACAGAATGTTGATCATGAAACAAGCAAAAATCTATCATGACAAACTCAGTATTGAAGGTAGCTAAGTAATCAGCAGGCTGGTTACAAAAATTTAGGAAAAGGCATGGCATTAAATATCTAAAGATTAATGGTGATAAATTATCTGCTAATCATGAAGCCTAAAATAAACTAAATGCACTAAATTTATGGGAAACAGAGCTAGAAACCTCACCAATGTACAGGTGATAATTCTAGATCTGATAAATCACAATCCTGAGCTTCAATCAGTCAATCAATCAATCAATTTTTATTTCCTTGCAAGATTTCATTGAGATTATGAAATTACAAAAATGAGTTGGAGTGCAAAGAGCCACTATCGTGCCTAGGCATTATGGGCAAACTTAATTTAATGGCTTACAGACTACTTAATACTAAAGAAATTGAACATAGTTTGTTTAAGTTGCACATCATGTTTATTTATAGTACACAGTAATTTTACTCAGATTACAATAGTTTCAATAGTAAATATTGAAATTATGTTATGGGAATATAACATTGTGAGTTGTTGGAAGTAGTTTACAGTATGAGAATGCTACAATTGGGTGTAAGGCAGTAATGTTTTGGGTAGGTATTTATACTACAAGATAGTTTTAATCAATGTATGAACTTTGGGCATCCCATTTTGAAGTTTTAAGATTTAGGTAATTGGGAGATTTTTTGGTGAAGTTAAATATTGAGTATTTAGTTTAGGGTGAATAAGTGGTTTTTGAGAAGTCTTAAATTGATGTTCAGACTGGGTTACTTAAGTATTTTAAGTTTTTACACAGTCTGATATGGACACTGGGTACATCAAAAAGAGATCTATGTCTTGTGTTATGGTCGTGTGACCTGTTAAGGTTGGTGAGGAGAAGTTTGAGTGGAGGGTTTATGTTTGAGTGTAGTGTTCTATGTATATAGTAGGCACATGAGTAAGTATGGATGTTCTTTATGGTGAACAGTTTTAGACTTTTGAATATTGGTGGAGCATGCTGTCGGGCGTAGGAATTTGTTATTCTGACTGCAGCCTTTTGCTGGGTTATTAGTGGCCTTAGGTGATTTGATGTTGTTGATCTCCATGCACAAATCCCATATGTGAGATAAGGTTAGATGAGTGAATGATACAGTGCAAGGACAGCTGATTGTGGAACATAGTACTGTATCTTTGATAGTATGCCTACTGTCTTAGAGATTTTCTTGGAAAATTGTTATATGTGTCTGGAATTTGAGACTACTGTCAAGGTGGATTCCTAGGAATTTTCCCTATGTGAATCTTGTGATGGGTAATTCATTTAGCATTATGTTAAGTGGAACATTTGCAGCTCTGTTTCCAAACTGAATGAAATACTACAGTGGTCCCTCGTTTTTCGTAATTAATCCGTTCCTGGAGCCGTTACTATAAACGAAATTTACGATTTATGAATCAATTTTCCCCATAAGAAATAATGTAAATACAATTAATCCGTTCCTGACACCCAGAAGTATTAAAACAAAAAAAATATACATGTAGTACATAAACAATACAATGGGAAATGATGAATGAAACATTAACAGCATAACACTTACCTTTATTGGAGATTCTTCTTAGTGTATGGGAGACTGGAGGAGGAGAGAGAGTGGATTGTTTATAGTTTGGAAGGGGAATCCCCTTCCAGCAACACCTCAGGTACCAATTGCTTTTCTGGGGTTGCTTGTCTTCTCTGTTTCTTAGTGCCACTAGGACCACCTTGAGAGTCAATGGAGTCCTGTCTTGCAAAATAACTGTGGAGAGAGCTGTTTCTGGCATCTCTTTAACACTTCCCTAAAATGGCCCAAGACTTTGTCACTGTACATGTTGCCAATATGGCTTGCAACAACCTTGTTAGGGTGATGTTTCTCCATAAAGCTTTCCATCTTACCCCACATAGTAAAAATCTCTTTAATTTCTGAAGAAGGCACCTTCTTCCATCTCTCTTCCTCCTCCTCTGCAGCAAGATTCTGAGCTGCGATGTGTTGCTCTTCCTGCTGAAGCTCTTGCAGCTCCTCAATGGTGAGCTCTTCGTTGTGGTCTTCCACCAATTCTTCCACATCCTCCAAACTCACATCCAACTCCATGGAACTCCCCAGTGCCACAATTGATTTTACAACAGACATAGGCTCATCAGGGTCAGTCCCAAACCCTTCAAAATCCCTCTTGTCGACACAATCTGGCCATAATTTTCTCCAAGCAGAGGGTTTAAAGTCCTGTAGTCACTCCCTCCCAAGCCATACCTATAAGGGTTATGCAATGGAGGATGCTGAAGTGTTCTCTCCAAAATTCACTTAGGGTCAAGTGAGTGTCTGTGGTCACAATCAAGCACCTGTGAAACATTGCTTTTGTGTAGAGTTTTTTAAAGTTTGCAATGAACTGCTGGTCCATGGGCTGGAGGAGAGGAGTGGTATTTAGGGGCAAGAACTTTACTGTGATGAACTCAAACTCCTCGAAAATTAGGTCATCCAAGTTTGGAGGATGAGCAGGTGCATTGTCCATTACTAGCAGGCACTTGAGATTCAATTTCTTTTCCAGGAGATACTCCTTCACACTAGGGCCAAACACTTCATTGAACCACTCGGCGAAAATTTCCCTCGTGACCCATGCCTTATTATTAGATTTCCAAAACACACACAATTTACTCTTCATAACATTGTTTTTCCTGAACACTCTGGGATTTTCAGAATGGTACACTAGTGATGGCTTCACTTTGAAATCCCCACTAGCATTAGCACAGAACATTAGTGTCAGCCTGTCTTTCATAGGCTTGTGTCCTGGCATTGCCTTTTCCTCTTGTGTAATGAAGGTCCTCTTTGGCATTTTCTTCCAAAGAGGCCTGTTTCGTCACAATTGAACACTTGTTCAGGTTTCAGTCCTTCAGCCTCTATGTACTCCTGGAATTCATGCACATATTTTTCAGCTGCCTTGTGGTCCGAACTGGCAGCCTCACCATGCCTTACCACACTGTGTATGCTAGTACAGTTCTTAAATCTCTCAAACCAGCCTTTGCTGGCCTTAAATTCACTCACATCACCACTATTTGCAGGCAATTTCTTTACCATATCTTCATGCAACTGCCTAGCCTTTTCACAAATAATCGAAGTCATAAGAGTATCTCCTGCTAATTGTTTCTCATTTATCCACACCAATAATAACTTCTCAACCTCTTTGAGTACTGGTGATCTCATTTTTGTCAGCATAGTTATCCCCTTTGCAACAACAGCGTCCTTGATTTCCTTTTTCTTGGCCACTATGGAACATAAGGTTGTGTAGGGTTTCTTATACATCCTGGACAGTTCAGCCACACTTGTACCACTTTCATATTGTTCATTGATGGTTTTCTTAAATTCAATGGTATTTCTCACCTTCTTTACTACAGGCTTGGCACTAGGAGCTTTCTTTGGAGCCATGGTAGCTTATTTAATACTTGCAAGCACTAAAATAAATGGAATATTATGAAATATTTCGCTGGAGCACGTGAGGGGACCTTCGCTCACTGGTAAACAATGCCAGACTGGCTGCCGCCACGGCTCACGCCGTGGGTATGCATCCGGGATGAATTACGACTCGCTAGTCAACTTATGAAAAGCGAGTCCATATTTATACGAAAATAACCCTATGATTGGTGAAATTTACGATTGCCGGGAACTACGAAAAGCGAGGGACCACTGTAGTTTTGTTAGTATTGAGGATAAGTTTATTAGTCATTATTCAGGTAGATATTTTCTGCAATTCAGCATTAACAGTGTTGGCCAGTATAACTGGTTTTGGGTGAGAGAAGACATATGTAGTGTCATCTGCAAATAATATGGGTTTGAGTAGTTGTGATGCATTCGGTAGGTCATTGATGTAAATGAGAACGAGGAGTGGGCCAAGGAACACTGACTGTGATTGATTGAGTGGAAGAGTTTGTTCCATTTGTGTACACATATTGGCTTCTGTTACTAAGTTATTACTTTAGGTAGTTGAGGGAGTGCCCTCTTATACCATGGTGTGTTAATTTAATGTGCAGCAAATCATGGTCGACAGTATCAAAAGCTTTACATAAATCACTGAAGATTCCCAGTGGGACTTCTTTCTTCTAGAGAACAGTGTACGTATATTAGTTCTAGCATCTTACAACCAGAACTGTAAGCAAAATGTTCTCTGTAGATTTAAATTAAATGGTCAACTACTCAAAATGAAACATTGTCTTTGTGTACTGAATGGTTCTTCAGCTTTTTTTTTTTTTGTTTTTTTTTTTGTGCTTAGCAGTATTTTTTAGTACAGGGACATAAGCCAGTGGT